CAGTTATTGGAGGCTGGAGAAAGGAAAACTAATGACAAATAGAGGAAATGTTATGAAGCAGTACTACAAAGCCCATACAGCTACAGGTTGAAAGACGGCATTTGGTAACAAAAAAGTAGAAAGAAAAATCAATTTCTTATATTCATTACTATTCTATGTAGATTAATTAAAGACAGAAAGTATCATCAGATGGTTCTAAGGATTATGGGAAATATTGTCAACTTGCTGTTAGAATAAAGAGCATTACTTAAGGTGTCATCTTTTCCAGAGAAAATTCACAAACTTATGTAAATAAATAGGGAAAAAAGATCTGCAAGGCATAACCATAAGATTTCAAAATAAAATTCAGTCTCAGGCAAGCCAACCTTCTTTTAATTTTGAAGGGTGAATATTGACGATGACAGTACAGTGAGTGATATATCTAATATTATTCATCACTTGCATACAAGTCTTACATACAAGTCTTTCAGAATTTCAGTAATATACATTAAATACTAAGGATAAAATTGTTTTAAGTATTGTTTATAAAATAAAATGCAGTCTGCAGGTTGTTTTTTTCTGTGAAAAAAAAAATGAATAAACAGACAGGGCCCTCAATTCACAATTGTTGGTACAAAAATTCGAACCTTCACAATTTTTTTCCAAAAATGAAAAATATGTATATATTTTCCAATTTAAACACAATCCTAAATCCCTATTGAAATGCTTTTTGGAAACAAGAGGGCCATCATGGCCCTGAAATCGCTCACCTAAATATGACAACTCTCCATGACAATACAGGACTTTTATTTGAACAAACATGGAAGACACCTATTAGAATATGTTTCATGCATAATATCTAAGCTCTAGCTCTTTGGGTTATTTTTAAAAGAAGATTTGTTAAGTTTTTACTCTATACATATAAGGAAAATCAATGACCCCCGGTTGGGGCTAATTTTGATCCCAGGGCTTTCGTTTGAACAAAAAGAAAAAAATTGTCACTAGAAGATGTTTCATGCTTAACATATCTAAGCTCCTCTAGTTTTTTGTGTGTTTTAAGAGAAGAGTTTTTAAGTTTTAACCATACACATATAAGGATATCCAATGACCCCTTGGGCATGGCCAATTTTGACCCCAGGGCTTTTATTTGAACAAACTTAGTAGAAATTCATTAGAAGATGTTTCATACTTAATATCTAAGCTCTAACTCTTTGGGTCTTTTAAAAGAAGATTTTTTTAGTTTTTACTATATAAACATAAAGGGAAAATAAATGACCCCCCAAGGGCTGGCCAATTTTGACCCCAGGGCTTTGACTTGAACAAACATGGTAGACACCCACTAGAAGATGTTTCATGCATAATATCTTATCTCTAGCTTTTTGGGGTATTTAAAAGAAGATTTTTTAAAGTTTTTAGTCTATACTTATAAGGGAAATCAATGAACCCTTGGGCGGAGCCAATTTTGACCCCAGGGCTTTCATTTGAACAAAATTGGTAGACACTCACTAGAAGATATTTCATGCTTAATATCTAAGCTCTAGCTATTTTGTTTTTTTAAGAGATGATTTTTCAGTTTTTACTATACATGTATACATAAAAGGAAAATTAATGACCCCCCAGGGGCGGGGCCAATTTTGACCCCAGTGCTTCTATTTGAACAAACTTGGTAGACACTCACTAGAAGATCTTCCATGCCAAATATCTAAGCTCTAGCTTTTTGGGTTTTTTAAAAGAAGATATTTTAAGTTTTTTCTTTTGGTTGCAATGGCTACCAGGGTTCTGCATGGTATTAAATTCTTTAAACAATTCACCAAAGGAACATTCCTGTGAAGTTTGGATGAAATTGGCTCAATGGTTTATGAGGAGATGTTGAACGGTAGGAGGGATGCCAGACAAAAAACGATCACAAAAGCTCACCTTGTCACTTTGTGACAGGTAAGCTAAAAAAATGTAATAATTTACAACATGAGCAATGTCACTATTTTTGTATGTGTAGTCTGAAGGACAGCTATTAATTCCCTTCCGCAGTGAACATTAATGTGTACTTCTTGACCTTTTACCAACCATGACCTTGATGTTGTGTCATGCATATCGAAGCACATAATCTCACATTGGTGGTTATTTGTGCCAAGTTATTTACAATCTTCCATAAAGTCAAAACGTTATGGAGAACTTATAACCTTGACCTTGGGTGTAGCAACCTGGATGTTGAACTTTGTAGATTGTGTCATGGTGGAGATCATTTATTTTGTACCAAGTAATTTTAAAACCTTTGAATCATCAAGAAGTTATAGAGCGGACATGAAAAATAGATGTTTTTAGTTGTGCCAAGTAATTTCAAAAAAAAATCAGCGGTTTAAAAGTTATGGAGCAGACATGAAATGTAGAAATTTTATCATGAAATGAAGACTTTTTAACATTTGACCTGTAAGTGTGACCTTGACCTTGGGGGTAGCAACCCAATTATTGCGCTATGCACACTGTCTTATTTTGGTTATCACTTGTGGCAAGTTTTTTCCAAAGAAAAATCAGCAATTTAGAAGTTATGGAACGGACACAAAATGTAGATTTTTTATTATGAAATGAAGACTTTTTAACATTTGACCTTTAAGTGTGACTTGACCTGTGGGAGGGAGCAACCAAATTATTGCGCTCTGCACATCGTCTCACTATGGTGATCACTTGTGGCAAGTTATTTCAAAACATTTTCAGCAGTTAAAAGTTATGGAGCGGACATGAAAGTGTTACGGACAGACATCTTACCGAATTGGGATATTAGGGACCATTTCTTTTGTTATTTTCTTTTGTTTAATAGAGGGCCAATGGCCCCTTACTCTATTATTACGGAATGAACTCATTGGTTCTGTTTACAGTTTGACGGCCCCCTATCCCTATTTGGTAGAGCGAATGGACTGAAAAATAGTTGCCTTGTCTCTCACCATTTCTCCCAGTTTGCTTAGGAAAGTGAAAACAAAGTCACCCTTATTTGGATAAACATCTGCAATAATTTCCAAAGTCAAAAATTGTTCATGCTCAGCCTATTTCAGAATTTTCATTGGTTGGTAAAATTGGAAAACAATAAAGTGATAAACGGTAATACATTTCAGGGATTTTTTTTTTTGGCTTATTTTATAACCGTTATTGGGTTATATTCCCAATTAAAAATAGTATATTATTTTCCCAATCCACAGGAAAATATTCCCAATTGAATGTAACAAAAAAAATATTGAATAAAATTTTTAAAATCTTTGAAAATAAGGGCTTCTTCACTGTAATAGTGCTTAAATGTTTGAAGATTCCATCCTAGACAGTAATTGTTTGCATCCATTTAATCAGCATAAAATTTCAGTTATGCATTTTTCCCAATTTTTAACAAAACACAGCTGAAATTCCCAATTCCATGGGTACGGGTTATGTTCCCAAAATCCTGGAAAAATTCCTGCACTTTTGCTAGCTTAAGGCCTTCAGCGTATCAATTTATACATTGTGACATGACTTGAACGGTGAAGACAGATCCATAGGGAAAGTCCTGCGCCAGGAATCTGAAACACTCTATTAATTTATTGAGCATGCCAAAGTTTATCATATCCCGATAAAACTATATGTTTAATCTGTTGATAACCAAAGTATCAACATTTAAAAGACTTATTACAAACATAGACTACCTAATATTTTCTGATAGATAAAAGAATTCAGCAATTGACCACCATCTTGCCAAAATGTCTGACAACCTGATTACAAGATTGACATTTATGGTTAAACCTGTGCAGACGGTTAAGAAAACAGTACCATGTGCTTTTAACTCTTTTTATAAATTACTTTTTTTTTTTAAAAAAAGCAATTTATTTACTTTTGTTTTCAATAAAATTTTTTTTAAGTACTAAAAATAAAAGAAAATTAATGAAAAAATTATCTTGAATTATGAGATTTGATTTGAAATCATGTCAACAAAGATTTATAGATATAGTTCATGACAACTCAGTTCTCCCCCTTTTCTCGTAAATATACGCTGTCTTGATTGTTTTTTGTTCCGCCAAATTTTCTTGTGGAATGTGCTTTGGGTTTTTGAGCAATTTCGATATGACGTTGCTTTGCCCAGAAGCAAAAATATCTCAAAACGACATCATATTTATAGGACTAACTTAAGTTTTGTAATTGATGTTTCACATCTAAATAAGCAATTTTATTGACAGTAAAAATATTTGATACTTTAGTTAGATCCTGCCAATAACACTCGCGGAGGAGATAGATGGATTGATACAATTATCCTGTTTTCTCGTATTCCCGGGGAGGGGGGGGGGGTAAGGACTAAACTTGGTTGAATTATATTTATAAAACATTTTGTTACCGTACTTTTTTGATTATGTCTGCTACAATTCACTCAAATTGTCAATGGAAGGCTAAAAAATGAATAATCTTGATTCCTTTATCTGGCACAATTATTTGTGGACTTTTTTCTACGGCGCTGTCTTCAGTGATGCTTGTCTTGAAAAATGAATAATCTTGATTCCTTTATCTGGCACAATTATTTGTGGACTTTTTTCTACGGCGCTGTCTTCAGTGATGCTTGTCTTGTCACAGTATAGTAACTTAAACTGTTAAATATTGCCATTATAGGTACGTTGTTGGGTAAAATGTGATCGAATTGTTCGTATGATACGAAGTATCCCTTGTTGCAATAATATGTCAACAGTCAAAAACGATTTATTTGATTTTGTTACAATCTGCTTATCTATATGTAACATGAATTATAATCAAAAGTGAATTACATCTATATGAATTGCAAGGTAATAGAATGAAAATGCACAGTATTACCATCGATCAGCTGGCCTCCATGTTATGACGTCATGTTGTCGTAAACAAATTAAAGAAATAACTATGTTTAAAAGTAATCTATCAATTTCAATCATATATTTATTGTTGGTTTTTGTACAATGAACATGTCTGATGGATAACGACAGACAAATATTCCTTGAATATTTATTGATTTCTCATTTACGACATCTGTCATAAATTGACTAGTAATAGACCACTTTGCGACAGTGACCGGCAAAATCGAAAACAAGAATGTCTGGTGATAAAAAACAACGATGGGTGCCTTTGGAATCAAATCCAGAGGTATGTTATGTACAACAAAAGATTAAAACATGTGTTCTTAATATTCTCTTAACAATATTTTTCAATGACTCACTGTACTTTTTTTATTTTCAGGTTTTAAACAAGGTGGGTGTGAACTGGTGAAATTTGTTTTACTGTTTTTGATCAACAGAGATCATCAAAATTATCGGCAGATGATTCATCATTGGACTGTCAAGTAAAGTACATCATACAAGTAGGAAGAGGAAACATAAAACATTTACTGTTCAGATTTTCCCATTATTGAAAGACTATGATTTTGTTCAGATATATAGATCTATCTGAACCAGTCCTAGCCTATAATCAGACGTCGCTTTCAGATAGTTTTGCTTCTGGGCAAAGCAACGTCAAATCCAAATTGCTAAAAAACCCATGGAACGTTCCGCCAGAAAATCAGGTGGAACAAAAAACAATTAAAACAGCATGTGTTTACATTAGTCGGCCAATATATTAGACGTTAGAGGCTTGTTATATCCACATACTGCCAGTTTTCAATCACAACCACTTTCCAATCATCCCTCGAAATTTTTTATTTTTGATCTTATTTAAATTGCTACCTATGGCGCGGAAAGCTCTTATGAATTATGATTTGAGCATAACATGTTTAGTGTACATGTAAACCAGATCATTCTTGCAGGTATTTTTTACCGTAAATTGGTGGCATTCAACCTATCGTCGGAGCGCTCGGAATATTCCGAAAATCTCTAAAGGGGGACCACCGTTTGGAAATCTTGTCCGCCATTTTTTGTTAAATCTATAATCACAGTTGTTGTTTTAAAGTTATTTTTAATGTGCTAATTTAGCAAAAATGATATTTAAAATAACACTTTTTTATATTAATAATCGTTACATTAGTTCTTATCAATGAAATGCATGTTTACTTTCTGATTTTGCACATCATTCTCTCACCGGAAGTGTAATTTTGCAGACGCTAGCAATAGTCTAAATTGTAGACGCTCATTAAAAGTGCTCTGATATCTATATTTAGCTCAAAAGGATTTCAAAATGGCGGCGCCCATTAACTAAGGATTTTTTCAAACCTCATTAGGTATAGGATATATATTTTTTTTTAAATTTTCATTAACTTTTAATTTGATTTTATTTTAATTGATACGCGTCATACATGTTATCTAAGAGCGCTACAGCCCTCGCGGGGCCTTTGGCCCCGCTCTGACTTTCCGCGTATAATTTTGTTCAGATATATAGATCTATCTGAACCAGTCCTAGCCTATAATCAGACGTCGCTTTCAGATAGTTTTGCTTCTGGGCAAAGCAACGTCAAATCCAAATTGCTAAAAAACCCATGGAACGTTCCGCCAGAAAATCAGGTGGAACAAAAAACAATTAAAACAGCATGTGTTTACATTAGTCCAATATATTAGACGTTAGAGGCTTGTTATAGTTTATGTCTGTCAAGCCTGACGTCTATAACTGTTAGGGGTGTAACAATACAGCAAAAACCGTATTGCAATATATTGCCATTTTGCTGAAGCGTTTTGCAATATATTGCAATAGGTATTGCAATATATTGCAATACGTATTGTCGTGTATATGGTTTGATGTAAAGATGGAGTTACATTCATATATTATTATTATATGTATATATTTTTAGTAGAAACTTAATAAAAATGTAAGGAATAAAGTAAAGTGTCACACTATTTGATAAACAAAACTAGTCGCGTGTGACCTTTCACATCTTGGCCGCTTATGTAAATTATGCGGCCGCTTATTGATTTTTAAGTGTACTAGTTGTCGGATACTTTTATCTTACGTTGGCGCACAAAATTCGCCAATTAAAGATTTTATGTGAAATTTGTACAAAATTAGAAGGCAATTAATTGAAAATTATGATTTTTATAAAATACCGGTTTTCCAAAAATCGTACCGTGGTACGAAATTTATTTTTTCATATTGCAATATATCGGTATACCGGTAAACTGTTACACCCTTAATAACTGTTATTGCTCATAAACGCAGAGCATCGTAAAATTTTTTACAAATGTCTATTGTCTTGCCTTTCAAGCTTTATTCAAAAGCTTATCGTCTTTTCTTTTAATTTCATGCTCAATCATTAAACATGTTTAAAAGTTTGGTATTATTTTAAACAAAGAATCAAGGTGAAATGACTCGACGTTTGGTAGTTGGGAGGCCTCAGCCGGGTTCAGCCACTTTGCAAAATCTTGGACTGGTTTAGTCCAATATATTAGACGTTAGGCTTGTTATAGTTTATTTCAGTCAAGTCTGACGTCTAATAGTTATTGCTCATAAACGCATAGCATCATAAAAAAATTCAAAAATGTCTATTGTCTAGCCTTTCAAGCTTTATTCAAAAGCTTATGTTCTTGTTTTTCAATTTCATGCTCAATCATAAACAAAAACTCTCAAACAATGTACTTATCAATTTGAAATAAAATATAAGCATCAATCTATTTTTGTCTATCAGCCATACTGGTTAAGCAAAGTGCTTTACAGATTGATTCCAAATTTTTTAACGGAAAAATATATGCGAACACACTGACAATGCATGGGCAATTATTTCGTTAAATAATATTCTGTTACAATTTTCTGACTCAGCTAAATGCTTTCATTTGAATTAGCCAATCAGATTTCACGTACTGTATGGCAGCCATTTGTTTATCGGCTGTATAAGGAATTTAATTACATGAGAGGATTAAATCATGATTTTTCCGATGTAACAGTATTTATTTTGACAAAAGGTATTTATTTTTTAGTTTTGTTCAAAACTAATGTTAATACAAGCTGTCTTAATTGTTTTTTTCGTTCTGCCTGATTTTCTGGCGGAACATGCTATGGGTTTTTGAGCAATTTCGATATGACGTTGCTTTGCCCAGAAGCAAAAATATCTCAAAGCGACGTCATATTTATAGGACTAGTGTTTACATTAATTTTGACCTATACATGAACAAAGTGGTAAAAAAGTATGTTTTCATTGCTGTTAAATGTTTTCTGGGTGCTATGCTTGGAAATAAATGTTTGTAGACTGTAGTAAGAATGTGCATTAAATTTTTTTTGAAGTCCTGAAAATTTGCAAAAAATATATTTTATCTGGACTTAAAGATGTTAAATAATTTATAAAACATGTTTAAGATGTAAAATAACCTTTCAGTATAAAAATTACCTTGTGTGCGGAACCAAGTCCACTATTTATTATGTTTAGCCCATTCTTGTTGCTTAAAATCAAGTGCTCCTAGAAGTATGACCTACTTAAGAAAGAAACGTTTTGGTCATCAGTTTTTATGGGCAAAGGATGTAATTTTCAAAATAATATCAATTGTAAGAAGAATTTTGAACTATAAAATAATTTTCTTATTTTTCCTTTAAAAAGTGTACGACACTGGGTACATTGACTCTATATAGTAAAAATTAAAAAAATCTTCTTGTGAAACTCCAAAAGAGATAGAGCTTAGATATTTGGCAGGAAACATGTTTTAGTGTATGTCTACCTTGTTTGTTGAAATAAAACCCTTAGGATAAAAGTCCCCAGGAGATGAAGGTCATCAGCTCAATCTCCAGCCAGGTCAATGTCTGTTTTCCTTCTCTTTTACTGTCATCTTTTCATTAGCTCACCTCTCACTCAGTGACAGGCTGAACTGTTTAATAAAATTCTTCCAGAGCTAAAATTAGAAAACAACAACATCTAAACCACTGGTTCAATTTTTAAATAATTTTACGCAAAAATTGTTTAAGCTGTCCCTTGTTTTCAAATTGCGCTTCTGGGGTGAAAATGGGCTCCACTTTGACATTTTGACCTATTTCTCAGGTGAGCGATCCATGGCCCTCTGGGCCCTCTTGTTTAATTTGTGAATGATGACACTGATTTCAATATTTTTTATTTTGACAGTATGTGCACAATTTAGGTGTGTCTAATGACTGGGATTTTGTAGATGTGTATGGTTTAGATCCAGAATTGTTGATGATGGTGCCTCGTCCAGTCATTGCAGTCATGCTTCTCTATCCAATCACAGACCAGGTAACAAGTCACTTCATTTCTTATATTAACCCTTAACCTTTCTATAATAGATCTGTCCAGCTTTGAATTTGAAACAGTCCATTCAAAGTTAAAGGGTTTTCAATACAAAAATAAAAAATTGAGCTGCCAACAGTATAGAGCCTGGTCAGACTGCATGGATGTACAGGCTATGGTATATCATATGTCTCAAGACCCTATTAATTACTGTAATAGTTGTGCGTAACTTTCCACTTCTCAACCTTTATCCTTTGTGATGAAGGATAAATGGCCATGATTATCCACCATAGTTAAAACATGCATGCTGTGTCAAGAAGCCAAATATGTTAACAGTTTGATTCCTATACAGATAACTCTTAAGTCTTACTCACTCTGAATTAATGGAGTTATTTCCCTTTTGTTATTTTTTTGAATAACATTCATTGTCTTTTATGATATAGAAAGACTTTTCTTTCATCTACGAAAAAAAAGCATGTATAAATATATGGCCAGTTGGGTTGATGGCTCTACAACAGAAGCGTCGAGGGCTATCCCGCATTTAGTAGGGATGTCAAATGTTCACATGAACAAGGTTTTATACAGAACATGTTCCACTGCTTTACTTCCTCAATGTCAAGGCAACGCTTGAAGGTCAAATCTCAGACAATTTTATGTCTGTCAGTTGTTTGCAATAAATTTCTATACTCAGGGTGTTCAGTTTGACCCTTCAAATGACTCTTTGACCCTTCAAATTTCAAAAAGGCCTGATTTGACCCTCAGGATTTTAACTGGAGGGTCAAATTCTGTTAAAATCATGGGAATTTGGCCTTGCAGTCGGTAAAACTTAGTCCAAATGACCCTCAGGATTTCATGGCTAGTGAACGCCCTGTATAATACTTATCAGTTATGTGCAAACATTTTAGATGAAAAGACAAATCCTAATGTCACCTATGCTTTGGTTTCTATGCAATGATTTCTTTGTTCAACAGAACTTTATTAATTTTGATATCTTAAACTTCACATATTTTTAATTGGTCTGTTTTGAAGAAAAAGTTGAGCTAGTATGATTGCTGCTTGGTCTTTGTCATGCAAAAACTTTATGTAGCCATTCACTCAAACAAATTCATAGGTATCAATATGAATCTTGGAAGGCTTGCTTATCATGACAAAAGGCAGTTGTAAGACAAGGGGCATAATTCTGAAAGTTATATTTTAGAGTTTATTCCCCATTTTAACTTTGAATTTTTAAGAGCCCAGCATTAACAGTGAATGTGGTTCTTGTTATTTATGTTGTTTTTAAATTTTACTGTAATTTCTAGTCGGAAAATCCTGATAACAAGATAGGCGATCAGAAGGAGACAGCAGACGGTGTTTACTACATGAAACAGACAGTTGGTAATGCCTGCGGTACTGTTGCCGTGATACATGCCCTCGCTAACAATAGAGATAATATCAAGTTTGAAGGTAAATGCTGCAAAATGTCAATGACTTTTGTTGTTTTCAAATTTGTGTATTTGTGAGTCATGTACTTTGATCCTCTGACAATAATATCGGCAAAGAGATATTGAAATGGCATTGTCTGTTTGTTATCTTATATAAATCCATATCTACAAATCAGTTTGTCCAATGTCCTTTATTAATTTAAAAAACATGTTCTTGTTATGTTATAATTGTTTAGTGTAATTGTAATTAAATACTGCATATATACATTTAAAATGCTATTTTGAGCTTGCCGTAGCTTTCCATCTTGTTCAGTGGCATTTATTATATATACAAATGTATTCAAAATGAACTAGGGAAGTGACTTAACATCATTAATCAATGCCATGGCGTTTTGTGCCGTCTGCTGCATTATTCTTTAGTGTTTACTCCTTAAGCTTGATATGTTCTTAACTTATTTTTCCACAAATTTTTTATTGTCTAGGTATAGGTCCGTCTGGTATAGTTTTTCAAGCCCCATTACTTGCCAAGTTTCCAAAAACATTTGAGCCAAGTCACGACACAACCAACATAGTGCGTTTGCGACCAGCATGGATCCAAACCAGCTGGATCCATGCTGGTCGCAAACACACTATGTTGGTTTTGTCGTGACGCGGCTCATTTGACAAGCTGATTTGAAGATATTGATATGTATATTAGGTATTGTATTGAAGCTCATCAAATACTGTTGGTAGGAAAAATCGTCACCTTAGTGCAGTAACAGGTTAAGTCCTTCTAAATTTCAAGGAGTTAACTAGTTATTGCACTAAGAAAAAAGGCTTGTTTTATGTTATGTCATTAAGTTATTCATTGGGACCCTGTGCCACCGGCCTGATAAGACACTAAATGCAGCTTTCACTTTTGAGTACAGTATTGGAACATGTACCAGTCAGGCTGTAAATTGTTTAATTTTGAAGCACAAATTGATGATAATTTACAAATGTACCATCATGCAATTCCCTTGGTGTATTAGCCAAATTTAACATTTAAATAAAGGGAAGGTTATTAGAAATAAAATTCTGATAACATCTTGTTCATATTTAAGTCCTATTGTTATTTCTTACTTATAAAGCATTTGAAACTGTTTTGTACAATTATAACAAATTATGATTAAAATTTTGTTAGAAGGAAATGATATTATTATGTTTATATAATTTTGGTTAACTGTATGTTACATCCCTAATTACAACATACAGGATCTCTAAAGTATGTAACTAAGAATGACTTGTACCAGAAATAATGTCCACACGCGTACATATGAGGTCTTCCATCTGGACAGTTGTCCACATAATATTTACAAAATTGTCATGATTTTAAGTCTTACATACAAATTAACATAACACTCTAGGCTGTTGAATGTAATAATGAATTGACTCCCTGATATTTGTTTGATATTTGTATTAATAGTAAATGAACTAAGATTGATGATGATCTCAAATAGTGGCCTAGTGGTTCTAAGGTTGTTGACTTCAAACCACCTGCTGGCCCCCTCACCACTGTGTATTTGAATGCCAACAGGGACATTGGACTTTTTCATGTGAGGAAACTATCCAGTTAGCTTATATATCAGTGGTTTTACTCAGGTGCCTGTTCTTGCCTGAAATAATGCACAGAAGGGCACCTGAGGTTTTTTTTTTAGATTTCACTAAAATCTTTGTATTATATTTTAGACAACAAACATTTTAACAAGTTTCTAGAGGAAACATTAGGAAAAGAACCAGCGGAGATTGCAAAATTGCTAGAGAATGATACGGTATGTATAATTATTGTTTTAATCATTTAACCTACTGATATATCTATATACCCCTACCAAACAGGAGAGTTGTCCCATAATTATGTGGACTTTTGTTGTAACTTGAAAACGGTAAAAAGATAACAATGCAAATATTTACTGGCTGCTTAACACTAACTTAGTTTAAAGGTACACAAGAATTCGAAAGTTTACACAAACTGGTGTAGAAATAACTGTCCTTCAAGGTTCTCAAGGTTCTTATAGCATGATGTTACGTATGGCAGACAGTAGTGAATTCTAGTTGCATATAATAGTGCACTGTGTATAAAACAACTTCCTTGATAATTTTCTGCTCTTGTTTTACTTCCGTGCCAGTAACAAACCTTTAGGCTATTTCGGTGTTTTACCAGGATTTTCCCCCTTGTGGATGATGGGTTGCCTTCAAGGGTTAAGGCTTCAGAATTGCAGTCAATGTCGTAAGAGTTGACTAAATTGGTTTGAATTACTGGAGTCTATGCATCTCTCAGCTCCTTCAGGTCAGGTGCTTTTAAACCCCTGGTCTTGCTTTAAGCTTGTAACACCCCCTGATATCCAAAAATGAAAAGTTGGTGCACAGAAAAGCCAAAAACAAAAAAGTTTGTCAAAAAAGTTACAATTGTATGATGTTCCGAATAGTTACTTGATGTAATTTTGAAGATATTGCTTTGATGGCAACTTATATAGATTGCATTGCCAAACACTAGTTCTGAAGGTAATGGTTTTAATAAATGTTCAAAATTATCAAAAACAAAAATGATCTGCATCAGTTATGTTATGTTTGGTTTGACTGTAACAACCCAAGATATATGATTATGTTCTAAATATTATAAATGAATTCCAGCAAACAGAAGATATAAGATATGACTATGTTACAGTTAATTTTCACAAAGCACATGTGTATGTAAATGGGAACAGTGATCTCGTCATGATGCATCTCTGAGGAGGGTTATTATTTCCTCTTATTATCACCAGAGTTGGTTACCTCATCATTGTATCGTCATTAAAATCTCCCACAGATTGTGAAAATCGTCATTGCTTGCTAATGAATTAAAAGAAAAATTGAAATATTGCAAAACATTTTCTAATTAGCGATTGTGAAACTCGTCATTCCTTGTTTATGCATTTAAACAAATAGCAAAATATTGAATAACATTTTCTAATACCTGATTGTAATATACGTCATTTCTTGCTAATTAATACATTTTTAAAAAAGGCATTATAATGCAAAACATTTTCTTTTACCTGATTGTAAATTTCATCTTTGTATGTTTCATTTTCATAAAATAGAAATAGTTCTACAGTAAGAAAAAAAGTTTTTGTAACTGCAAATGATAAAATGAAACAGGAGTTTACATATAAGTTGTCTATACTTGTTTCTGGGATATAAGACACCCTTCCTTTCTACTTTCTCACATAAAGCAAGATAGTGAAAACTGATCAACTTCAAGGGCCAAAGAATCTCCCATAAAGGATTGTGGGTCTGGTTGGGGCAATGTTCTATTCTTATCCTTCTTCTTTTAGGTCTCTGACCAAGCACACTAAAAGTAATGATTGTATAAACTTATATTACCAGCTAAAATTTTTAACCCTTTTCTAGAACTAAAAGTAAATTTTTTAACCCTTACTTTGCTAGAACCAGAACTAATTGGCCTTTACCACTAGTTTAGAGCCATGCCAGTCTGAACATTGTTGCAGTCACACTAGGCTCTTTACTGTTGGTAGCTCAATTCATGTAATTTAATATTATTTAATATTGAAAGTCCTTAAATTTGAAATGAACTCAATTGTTTTCATCATTCTTGGGTAAAAGTGTCTCCAAATGAAAACCATCTTAATTTTGTATGTTTTGTTTTTTAACCATTTTGGATACTGTGTAAGTGAAGGTTTTCAACTCTTGATAGAGACAAATTTAAGGAGAAGAATTCTAAAAGACTTGTTTTCATCCTTTTCCATTATTATGCCCCCGCCATGTAATGGCTGGGGCATATAGTGTTACCCTGTTCCGTCCTTCCGTCATTCTGTCATTCCGTCATCATCAGTTTCCGTTCATTATCTTAAGAACGGTTGCACACATTCAACTCAAATTTGACATATGGATATGTCATGAGAAAATACAGGTCAAGTTCGAATTTGGTCATGGTTCGATGATTTTTGGCAGAGTTATGCCCCTTTTACTTTGAAAATAATATGAAATTTTCAGTTTCCGTTCATTATCTCCCCAACGGTACAACACATTCAACTCAAACTTGACATATGGATATGTCATGAGAAAATACAGGTCAAGTTCGAATTTGGTCATGGTTTGATGATTTTTGGCAGAGTTATGCCCCTTTTACTTTGAAAATAATATGAAATTTTCAGTTTCCGTTCATTATCTCCCCAACGGTACAACACATTCAACTCAAACTTTACATATGGATATGAAATGAGAAAATACAGGTCAAGTTCGAATTTGGTCATGGTTCGATGATTTTTGGCAGAGTTATGCCCCTTTTACTTTGAAAATAATATGAAACTTTTTAGTTTCCGTTTATTATCTCCCCAATGGTACAACACATTCAACTCAAATTTGACATATGGATATGTTTTTGGAATGCCCAGGTCAAGTTCGAATTTGGTCATGGTTCAATGATTTTTGGCAGAGTAATGCCCCTTTCACTTTGAAAATAACATGAAATTTACAGTTTCTGTTCATTATCTACCCAACAGTGTTACATATTCAACTTAAATTTGACATATGGATATGTCAAAGGAATGGGCAGGTCAAGTTGGAATTTGGTCATGGTTTGATGATTTTTTGGCAGAGTTATGTCCCTTTCACTTTAAAATTAATATAGATACATCTTAGGAATAAGCAGTTTAACTTTGAATTTGGTCGTCGTTCAATGATTTTAGACAAACTTATCTTTCCTGAATGTTGGAAAAATTTTGAACTTTCAGTTTAAACACTCATACTTTTAGCCATTATTTTGGCTACAAATATGCAATATGCTATTTTTAAAAGGTTAAGACTGAATAATTTCAGTGCCTTGAACATTGTATGAAAATGGTTTGTGTTAACATTGAAAAGTTTTAAGGGCTTTGAACTTAAAATGAAAAAAATAATTAATGCACCAACTGAAATTTTGGCTGCATGCGGGGGCATCCGTGGCATGATGACACATTTCTAGTGTAAAAATATTTTGTTTGTTGATTACTTGTATGTACACATATATGTGAACATATATGTATACTGTTGGAACTGAATATGTTTAAACCTGAGGCAAAAAATTCAGTTTTCCTAAACTGATCTTTATTGTAGAGTTTTGAAAGCCTTTGAAAACTTTTTATGATATTTTGTCCTGTTTTGTTGAGAAATATAGTATTAGAAATTCCATAAAAAGTTTATATTTTTATGCTTTGCTTCTATATGCAAGTCATTTTAATGAGTTTTAAAATATAATGTCTAACCATGGTGCTAGATTTGGCCATAGTTTTGCACAATCTTGCATTACTATTGCCCTATTCCACCTTTATAGTCACATTCCTACCTTACTGGATATACACGGTGTAATTGTGAATTATGTTTTGATGGTTATTTTTCAAACTTGATAAAAGAAGTCCATTTCGATACATTAATAAGCATGGTCTTTAAAGGTTGTTTAACTTTAACCTAGACAAATATAGAGAATATGATATTCAATCAATCTCCCAAGGTGTCAACCAAGATGTAAATGAAATTCTATTGAGCATGATACAGCCATTATTACATTCTTGGTTGAAGCTATGGATGAGATGTTTATTATCAACTTATTTTCATGTAAAGTGTGATTTGTTTACAGGAAATGGGTGCAGCGCATGAAGGTAGCGCACAGGAAGGTCAGACCGAGGTAACGTTACTACATGTATATTACATTTGTCACCGTCCTTGATAAGACATTGATACTACTGACCAGAAATTATTGTAATGACAAGAAAAAAAATAATACAAATACCTGATTTCAGATTATTTTCAAGGAACATCTTATAAATTTACGTTGTTCAGTCATAACTAAATTAAAAACGTATAGTCAATTAGGCTCCTTCCTCTTTCATCAGCTGTTTAAACTGCAAGTACCAGTATGTATTGGATGAAGTTATTTTAAATACTTTAATATATGATATAATGGGGAGAAGGTATTATTTGAAAATTATGATTATTTATGATTATGAATTAGAAATTCTGAATTAAGGAAATTATGACATTTTAATGCAGCAAAGGGCTTCTATTTATTTGAACTTTGTTTTTCAGGCCCCATCAAGAGATGACAAAATAAATACCCATTTTATTGCCTTTGTTTGTAAAGGCTCTGAACTTTATGAACTTGGTAGGTACATTTCACTTTCATATGTATTTTGTTTTTATGTCCCTGCTTTAAAAAATGACCCTTTATGATTGTGAGCTCATTAGTTCAAAGGTATAGGTTGAAATGACTCTTTGTTTTCACAGTAACTGCAGAAGGAATATTCAATAAACTTTGACCTATGAAACTTGGTAGGGACATTGCTTATGGCTAGGAAACAACCCCTATAAAGGTTGAGGTCATCTGGACAAAGGTCAGGGATGCAGTGACATTTGTGAAAAATGCTTGACCAATAATTTTAAGTAAATAGAATTCTTCTTGCTACAGACTACACCAAAAAAAAGACACTTATTTACAAAAAAAACACAAGGTGGTGGTATGGATGTTTGGAGAAAATAAAACAAGATATCACTGTCCAGTAAGATTATCTGTTATATTAAGGGAAAGAGGAATTAATATTGAATAAAAACTGAGAAGCTGTTGTCATTTGTTAAATATTATAAAACAAATAAAATAATCTCATGATTAGATGATGAATCACATGTAAGATCAAAGCCTCCTGGTCAAAAATCAAATTCTCATATATATTTTTCATCTTGAGTGCATTTTTTTCTTTCACATAACTTCTGCATGTATTACCAAATATTGGCATTAGTAAAATATGTGTAATGTACAAGACCAGTGTCACTATGCCAAAATGAAGGTCTCAGCAGAGCATTGGACTTTGTGTATTTCTAATCTTTTCTGAGTGAAGTTTTTAAATGTTACTTTTTCAAAAGTCTTGATAATACTAACTATATTTTCATTACTCATTCATGTTAATAGATGCTTTTCACATAGCAATTATAACTTCCTTTGGACATAGCAATTATAACCTCCCCTGGCCACAATTTTGAGGGCCATTCCCAATATGTTATATGCCTAAGATAAAAATGAAAATAAAAGTAAAAATAAAATAAGACAAGAAATATCTCATAATTCTATCATCTTCACATAAAACTGATAAAAATCTTTTATGCTGTGTTCTCACTGCCGATCAGATCAACTCGATCAAGCACGATCAAGCGATCGGGTACCGGTCTAGCTCGGTCTGCATGCGTGATCGGGGGTGATCGGAGCAGTCTACCTTGGTCGGCATGGCTCGGCCTTCTTACTCGAATTTTTTTGACATGTTTTAGCCACCCATTTGCGGCGTCTGGGTCCCATAACTCTGATTTGCTTTTTTGCATAAATATTAGGGATGTCATTCGGAGTCCGGATATCCGAACGTTCGGATAACGATTCGGTGTCCGGAGCAGATTTTCTGATCCGGATGTTTGTATAAAGTATTTTAAAATATTGAGAAAATGTGATAATAACATGCGTTGAGATAATCGTAGACATGGTGTTGACACCATATTGTATACTGTACCTTAGTTTGACAATACACATCATAACCTCTGCAGTCCACAAAAAAATCAATAATTACTATAATAATTACGAGTCAATTATGACACATGTTTTTAATCAAATTTAAGTTTTGTAAGATTCTAAGTCCCGTGCGACTGTCATCGGCAACGATGTTACATTTTTTTATGTCCAAATTTAAATATTTAATTAGGTTATTATTTTTATATATATTTCGGCTTACCGACCCGTCGACTCCTTATTTTTAGACATTGAAAAATCTGCAGAAATAAAATAAGCAAATAAAGAAATTCACTTACGAATTATATGTTAATTATCAAAGCTTTTATTGAAATTGATACGAAAATTATCCGACAAAATAACTTTCTCCTTTAGTATTAATCAAACATGTGCATTTTTTTAAAAACATTTTTTTTTTCACATTTCTTTTTTCACTTATGAACACTTAAAATGTGTGTAATTCATGTAAGTTTCGGCACTTTCTTTGATGATTCGAATCAAACAGCCAGGGCTACATGATGGTAAACATCAAAGATTGGCAGATTCTTTTGAAAAGCCGGCTACACGCGTGTCAAAGGTCATCGTGTGTAAATTGTATGCGTGTTATTGAACAATGGAAACATTATATTTAATTTTTACGGGTATTATTTTGTTTTCACAAATGTGAGCGAATTTTATTGCGTACTATAGCGCTAATTGAGGAATTCAGACAATCGGCGGCGATTTTCGTTTCCATTTCATTTGAAATCGTAAGTACCACACGCACTAAATTTATTAATAAAAGCTAGTCGTATTCTATATAGAAGAAATAAAATCAATAATGGAAGATTTTTGATATGTATCATTCAATTAAAAAGGAAGAAAAACGAAATACTACACTTTGAAAAAGGTCGGGAAGAAATGGTTACGTCATATCAGACATCTAAGAATATAACAACGATCCGAACATCCGGATGTTTGATTCGGATATCCGGATGGTCGTTTCGGCTCCAGATGACATCCCTAATAAATATGCCCCTTTTTCAACTTAAAAATTCTTGGTTAAGTTTTTGTGTGTAAGCAAGTATCTCCATAACTATTGAAGGGAATGGATTGAAACTTCACACACTTGTTCTCTGTGATAATCTAACATGATTGGCACAAGTTTGCCTTTTTGCATAATTATGCCACTTTTTCAACTTAGAAATCCTTGGTTAAGTTTTTGCTTGTGAGCTGGTATCTCCATAACTACTGAAGGGTTTGTGCCTTTTTGTGACATTTTTATGCATTCATAATAATAAAGCAGTGATTTACTCGATAAAATATCTTAAAAACAAGCCTTTGTACCCTTTCGGACAATTTTATGTATTCATATAGGTAAGCATTATTATACTCAATGAAACAACCTGGTGACAACTTTTTCGAATAGTAGAGCGCCACTGTCCTCAACAGTTCTTGTTTTTCATATTTTGTCAATTATATTGAATAATGACAAAGGAAATGACCCCCAAAATGACTGCCACTTTTGGGAAGGAAGGTACATATTGTAAAAATCAGGAACTATCTATATTTGATCCAAATGCAAGGTTGCATTGCCTTTAAACTTAAATATATACACCATAAAAAAGATTATGTATATTTGCAAACTTAAAGTGGCATGAGTGTGTTGGTTTGATTATGTGTTTCATAGCACACAGTTACTCATTCTGGAAGGGAGATAATTTAGGTATAATTATTGAAATGAAATAAATCTTGTTACCTCCCTTCATTTATTAAAGACCCTAATATTTTTTATTGCAGACGGTAGAAAAACTGGACCAGTATTACATGGAAAAACAACCCCAGACACTTTACTTGAGGTAAATGTTGTTTCTCTCTTTCTTGGATTGCTATATATTTTTGTGCTAAAATGGAGTTGTGCCTATACAGTCATTTACCTTGACAGAGATGAATAAATGTTTGACAACAAAATATGACCGAATATAATATGTTGAAACAAAGATTTTAACAAAATGATTTTATTCACCTTTTTTCTTGTTATTATTTTGTGAGGGTAACAAGGGAAGACACTTTTTTGTCCTGTGGTTTAACCTTGTTTTTTTTATGGCAATTGACCATAGTACGTCCACTGCCTATGTATCTCTATATATGAATTTATGTAGAAATGCTGAAAAGAATTTTTAGCATTTACACAGATACAAGGAATATTCAAATTAAAAATAAATGTTCTTAAATATAGGACTGAATATTATTTGACATTGTCATGTTAAACTTAAACCCAAACATAAGTTGATCAATATTTGGTTGTTAAGTCATATAAACATAGAAAAGGTCAGATAGTGACTTTCCAGTTTTTGCTGGAGGAAGACCGCTGGTATCCACAAGTAGACACCAGATTTGAACTGGCCATCTTTCCTTAAAAAATCTAGATGGGTTCTTGATATTGAAAATCACAAATTACTAGGCAGGATTTAAATCCACAGCAATGAGAGACAAATCATTGAAAGTCTGTAACCATACTTTAGCACAGAAGTGAGATAACTTAAAAAGGTAGAGATTACAAATTCTTCCATATTTAGAACTGTTTTGCTATTTGTATATCTCATACAAACAGAAATTGTGTATGAATAGGAAATAATGATACAGTATTAGAATTTGTTAGATTTTCTAAGCCTTCTATAATTCTATTATGTCTTTTTAAATAGCTGACTGGTTAAATATAAATTTGGAAAGGAATTTTCATGGCTATCAGTTTTCATTTTACCATACAAGTCAGTGCTTTAAAGCTGCATGCCTCCAGATTGGCCAGAAATATTTCAAGAAAAACTAGAGAAAAATGTACCAAGATTTTAAGAAAAGTTAATATACATGTATTCAAGTAACAGTGTACATGTTATGTGCGATTAATGGCTGACTTTGCTGTATTAATCACCATATTACTACAGTGTGACAAACACACTAACAGTCAATGAATTTAAGATTTTGAATTTACTAGCCCGCATTCCAGTTTTGAATTTATTCTACTATATATTTAACTAAATTTTCTTTCTAAATTTTCATGTATCAACTGAAGAAGCTTAATAAAGCGAAACATGTTTTGATATTTAAATTTGTGTTGGTTTTTGATCCAATTGTCCTAACTAAATTTCACTGGCCCGAACTATTTTTCACTGGCCATGGGCCACCGGGCCAGTCCTAAATTTGATGACTGCACTAAGGGCTATTTTTGCATATTTTGACCTAGTTTCGGTAATTCACTTTGATTGTAAGTGCTAATTGAAATGTGTAAATTACTATCTTTGTTCATTTGACAATATTCTACTTTTAAATACATTTTCAAAATTTTTATGATGATAATCATGAATCTGGTGGCATGCTGATTTAAGGTGGACTTTTGTGAATTTTTATATTCCTATTGTGATAATGTTGATAACAGACAAATGTATTAGTTCACCATAGCACAACATGCTCAAAGTGACATATAGTGATAGATAACCTCAAAGTGAGATTTTAGTGGTAGCTAACCACAGCACAACAGCCCAAAGTGAGATATAGTGTTAGCTTACTAATACCTTGTTTGTCATTGTTAACAATTTTTATGCCCCTACTTAGCTTAGATTTGCCCTTGTCCATCTGTCACGATGTCTTGCTGTCACACTGCCTGCCTGTAGACTGGTAAAAACAATTGATTGCCCAGGCAACTGTGTCCTAAAGACAATTTACAAGTTTTAAAACTACATCTTTTAAATTTAAACCAAATTGAATACCAGCCAGTCTTCACAACAATCAGTGACAGGTGTTCATTGTATTTTTACATCAAGTGAGATGTTATGACCTTACTCTCAGATTATACCATTTCAATTTTGTTTTATGATCATTTATCAATTCGCATATATTGTTTAGGTCAGAGTTTTGTTTGTATTTTGATAAGCTATTGTTTTACATCACTTTGAAGTATTTTGCAATATTTTAAATGATTAATGATAAATACTTTTGTCTTGATAATATAGTCAATCAATCTACTAGTATATATTGAGAAGTAAACCTAACACTGCTGAATTTGTTGCATACCAAACTTGTCCAGCTTTGAATTTAAAGCTATCCATTATAAAATAAAGCTAAAACTAAGCACCCAGCAGTCATGTTTGGCTACCTTGATTATATAAAAATAGTATACAACATTGAGGACCTTCTAAGCATTGTATGGTCGATCAGTCTGCACATACAGTTGAGTTCACACTAAACTTCCCACCCTTGTGCACTTCTAGTGCACTAGAGCTGAACTAGAAGTGCACACCGTGTGCACTTCTAGTGCACTAGACCATATGACCAGGCTGGCCAGGGAAGGTGACACCTAAATGGTTTATTGGATAATTGCATATCAAGTGGCATGGGCGTTTGTTAAGCTGCTGTGAAAAAAAAAGTTTGGGAATATATGGCCTATTCATGAATATAAATAAGTAAATTTTAAAATCAGCAGTTTTAACAATTTAGGTGATATCATGTTAAAGCTTAAAATTAAAAAAAAATATATATTTATTGTAATCATAGTTTTATTAACCAGTATTTAACTGTAAGTGTAAAATAATATCCCTTAAAATCAAATTTATATAATTATAATAAGGTTAAATGTAAATATGCTCCGTAATGGATAAGTGTTTTTAAAGCTTTTTTTTAATGGCCAGGTATTTCAATTTTTAGCTCGACTATACGAAGTATATGGAGAGCTGTCCTACTCGCCCCGGCGTCGGCGTCCGCGTCCAGATTTTAGATTAAAGTTTTGGTGCAGTAAAATATTTTTCACTATAACTTTGTCATTTCTTAAGGTATCAACTTCAAACTTCAAATATATGTTCCTTATCATCAACCACATCTTATGTGACAAGGTTCATAACTCTAGCACCAATATTTTCAGATTTATCTCCCCTTGAACTTAGAATTTTCCTTAAAAAATACTATTTTTTACTGTTACTTCTTTATTTCTTAAGGGATCAACCTCATACTTCAAATATATGTACTTTATCATCATCCCCATCTTATGTGACAAGGTTCATAACTCTAGCACCAATATTTTCAGATTTATCTCCCCTTGAACTTAGAATTTTTCTCAAAAAGTACTATTTCTTACTGTTTCTTCTTTATTTCTCAAGGGATCAACCTCATACTTCAAATATATTTACTTTATCATCATCCCCATCTTATGTGACAAGGTTCATAACTCTAGCACCAATATTTTCAGATTTATCTCCCTTTGAACTTAGAAGTTTCCATAAAAAATATTATTTTTTACTGTTTCTTATTTATTTCTAAAGGGATCAACTTCATACTTCAAATATATTTACGTTATCATCATCCACATCTTATGTGACAAGGTTCATAACTCTAGCACCAATATTGCAAGAATTATCTCCCCATAAACTTAGATTTTTTTACTAGAAAAATGTTATTTTTTATTATAACTTTTTTATTTTTAAAGGTATCTACCTCAAACTTCAAATACTTATTCCTTATCATCAATTACATTTTATGTGACAATGTTCATAACTCTTGAAGCAATATTTACACATTTATCTCTCTTTGAACTTAGGATTTTCTTTAAGAAATATAATAACTTCTTTACTTTTTAAGGTATCTACTTCAAACTTCAAATATATATTTCTTATCATTACTCAAATGTTGTGTGACAAGGTCCATAACTCTAGCATTATTTCTAGAATTATTCCCCTTGATCTTGGAATTTATGTTAACAAGTATTATTTTTTACTATAACTTAATACATAATTATACATAATTGATTTTTCTTTCATAGTTTTGTCCTCCTTACTGCGTCCAGTATTTTATTAGTCGAGCTTCGCTGTCTCCTGTGACAGCTCTTGTTTCTAGTGTACAAATGGGAAAATCAATAGGATAATTCTGGCCCAATTAATTAAGTAAAACATATTTTTTTTTTCATAAGCTCAAACAAATCAAGGAAAGGTTTATATTTAAGCTAAATATTATTTCTATAATATATAACTTAGAGATAATTCCTCATTAGAATATTGAAAGAGAATATTAATACATTGATTTTAAAAAAAATCAATATACTCTGACAATTTAGTATTCAACTGTGTAATGCTTGCATATGTTTGAAAGATATAAATAAAATAAATAAATTTAATAACTTTATTCATGATTTCAATATTAAAAACTTAATGTATAAGGGGAATACTTTGATTGAAGAGAAAAATCTCAAGTCATGCTGTGTATTGAGGGACTGTTTTCATAATACCACTCTCCTGCTAATAAGAGGGCCTCAGGGTAAATAACAAAGAACAGTCAATTTTGCAGATTGAAATTCCCTAGTTTTCTCAAAATGCATGTTAGACATAAGCCTGGGATTCATCAGGCGTTGGCACTCAGGCTAGTTAGTCATATAGATAAATGACCATAATTTTTGTATAATCAAATATACAAAAAAAATCATAATGGCAGAATGCGTATTAGATATTATTGTCACTAAAGAGGAATTTTCTATATTTATCCATTTATCCACATTTTAAGAGGCAATTCCTCATGTTCAAGATTGAAAGAGAATATTAATTCATTGATTTAAAAACAATCCATACACTGTGATATTATGTTTTTAAACCATGAAATGCTTGCATTCTTTTTAAAGATATAAATATTAAAAAATTTCCATGAAATAAATAAAATTGATAACTTTATTCAAGATTTCTATAGTAAAATTTAATGTATAAAGGGAATGCTTTTATCCAAGAGAAAAGTCTCAAGTCATGCTGTGTATTTGTATTATTCTGAGAGCGACTGTTTTCATTATACTGGTCATACTGGTCTCCTGCTGATAAGAGGGCCTCAG